GGTGGTTTAATGGGACACTTCGGGGTTCAAAAGACTTTAGACATGTTAGGGAAACATTTTTATTGGCCTAAAATGCGACATGACGTAGAACAAATATGTGGAAAGTGCATAGCTTGTAAAAAGGCTAAGTCTAAGGTTCAACCTCATGGTTTGTATACTCCTTTGCCTGTACCTAGTGAACTTTGAGTAGACATATCTATAGACTTTGTGTTAGGTTTGCCTAGGACAAAAAGGGGTCGGGATTCAATATTTGTAGTGGTCGATAGGTTTAGTAAGATGACGCACTTCGTACCATGTCATAAAACTGACGATACTACTAATATTGCAGACTTATTCTTTAGGGAAATAGTACGTTTACATGGAGTACCTAAAAGTATAGTGTCTGATAGAGATGTGAAGTTTTTGAGTCATTTTTGGCGTGTTCTGTGGAGTGAGGTAGGAACTAAGTTATTATTTTCTACAACTTGTCACCCACAAACAGATGGACAAAGTGAGGTAGTTGATCGAACTATGACTCAACTACTTAGGACAATGATCAATAAAAATCTGAAATCATGGGAAGAGTGTTTACCGTTTATAGAGTTTGCATATAATCGAGCTACACATTCTACTACTTCGTTTTCTCCTTTTGAAATTGTTTATGGTTTTAATCCACTAACACCTATGGATTTAATGCATTTGTCTGTGCATGAACGAGGTAGCTTGGATGGGAAACTAAAAGCCGAGATAGTGAAAACACTCCATGAAAAGGTCAGGATGCAGATCGAAGAGAAAGGAAAGCTGATTGCATCAAAAGCAAATAGAGGAAGAAGACGCGTTACATTTGAGCCTGGAGATTAGGTCTGGGTGTATTTCAGAAAAGAGCGTTTTCCAGAACAGAGGAAGTCAAAATTGCAAATACAAGACGATGGACCGTTTCAAATCATCGAGAGGATCAATGACAATGCGTACAAAGTGGATTTACCTGGTGAGTATAATGTTTCCGCTACTTTTAATGTATCTGATCTCTCTCTGTTTGATGCAGGTTCAGATTCGAGGACGAATCCTTTTGAAGAGGGAGGGGATGATATGATCCAGGAGTCGAGCCCAACGAAGGCAAGTGCGAGAGGAGACTCGTTGATAATCGATGGCGAACCAATGACGCGATCAAGGGCAAAGCAAGTGAAACAAGCGATGGGATTGCTCGTTCAAGAAACCATTGATGGAATTATGTTCGAGACTCAAAATGGAGCAACTTTCATGTTCGGGTCGAAGGCCGAATCAACTTGGATCAGGCCGCACAAGCAAAACCCCATGCAGCTGCACGGTGGCATATCGAAAATCAAAACACCAATTCTTGTTGAACCATGCGACCGCATGGAAATACACCATGCGGCCGCACAAACCAAAAAAATTGGCGAATTTTCTAATTTTGACCGAATTTTCTAGTTTCGATAGAATTCTTATGAAATCAAATTATTACCATAATTTGATAAATTTTGGACGTTTTTACTCATTAGTATAAATAGGAGAATATTTTTCATTGTAAAGACTTTTGACTTTTGCTTAATATTATAGAAAGAGAATTTGTTCTTTCAATTTCTTGTTCTTCTTGAACAATCTTGGAACTTATCAAGATTCAATTTCTTGTAGCGTTTTAAACAATCGGATCGTGGGTTCTTTTAATTGTAATCAAGGGGTTTTAGGTTTTTCGCTAATTTAGGGTTTCTTGGTTCAATTCTTGGGGTTCAAAATCCAAAATCGAGTTAGTATTAGCGTTCTTGGGTTCCACATCAATCTCGTTGTGGGTTTCGTAGTTTCCATTGCTACGGGGTTGGCATCATCTTTGATATTGATATGTCCAATAAATGAATTTCAAGTCCACTCACGTTTACTTACAACTAAAATGGTTTCAACCACATTTCAAATCATTAAATTTACTATGAGATTTACAGATTCATGTTAGAAGGCTTTCTGTGTCAAAATCGGATGTAATTTATTTGGAATGTGCCCAAGATATCCACTATAAGTCTATAACTCTACTTAATTTAAGAATTCTCTTCGCCCATAATTGTTTTCATCCTTTTCCACCTATATGCAAAAGAATATACTTAACATGAAACTTATTTATAATGTCACACAAATTAATTGTGTACAAAATGAATTTATTTTTAATCATTTTTATTTCAAGAATTAGAAATTCAAAAACTAAAAGATCCAACTTGAAAAAGTTAAATCAAAATTTACTTTTTATACACCTGCTCAATAATGCAAAACACAAGAATCTCAAGTATCTCGTCAAAAATGTTACGTTGTCAAATTTAATTATTTTCAGATCCAACTCGAAGAGATGTTAATGCACAGGAGATATGAAGAACTCAGAGACATTGGCAACTCATTGCAAGAAATTTCTTTCCGGTAGCAACAAGTCAATGACAGATGATCATAAGCCGGACAATTTGCTTCTCGTTGTCATTCTTGTTATAAGCTTAAAAATTGAGTCAATTAAACAAGAATATCAAGAGAATATCCACAGGAAGCCCCAGTTTATACTGAAATCATCTAATCTTCACAATACAGCATGAGTAAGACCATATATTGGTATTTCTGAAATGTCTCTAAGTTATAGTATATACACAAGCACATGCATGTACAAACACAAAGTAGTTCACCTGCTTATTATTGACGGAAAAAAGGGTATTCCAGCCAGTTAATCTCACCAAATTTCCGATATTATTTATGCTGATTACTGAGCCGGGTTCAAATAGCTTTTGTCAAAAGACTTTCCTTTTTAACATTCTTTGTACAAGTCGACTTCCATTTCAGTATGACAATTCTGAATTATAATATCATATTATCTTTGACTCGAGTTTGTGACCTATACATACACTATATCGTCATTACCAGTGACACAAAAAAAAAATAATAACAAATAAAAATAAAAAAATCCTAGGTGAAGAAACTTGAGAGTGTGACGGAATTCTTGGAACCAATAGAAAGGTTACTTTCAAATCTCTAATAACAAAGAGAAGAAAAGGAGATTTTGTTCTTTATTTTGAAAGGAAAGTAGAAGGGATAATTGAAATTTAAGTTGAAGTTAAAAAAAAAATTCTTTCATTCCACCCTCCACAAATGCACGTTAAGTACTGTGGCATTAGTGATTACAAAGTGGATTTACCTGGTGAGTATAATGTTTCCGCTACTTTTAATGTATCTGATCTCTCTCTGTTTGATGCAGGTTCAGATTCGAGGACGAATCCTTTTGAAGAGGGAGGGGATGATATGATCCAGGAGTCGAGCCCAACGAAGGCAAGTGCGAGAGGAGACTCGTTGATAATCGATGGCGAACCAATGACGCGATCAAGGGCAAAGCAAGTGAAACAAGCGATGGGATTGCTCGTTCAAGAAACCATTGATGAAATTATGTTCGAGACTCAAAATGGAGCAACTTTCATGTTCGGGTCGAAGGCCGAATCAACTTGGATCAGGCCGCACAAGCAAAACCCCATGCGGCTGCACGGTGGCATATCGAAAATCAAAACACCAATTCTTGTTGAACCATGCGACCGCATGGAAATACACCATGCGGCCGCACAAACCAAAAAAATTGGCGAATTTTCTAATTTTGACCGAATTTTCTAGTTTCGATAGAATTCTTATGAAATCAAATTATTACCATAATTTGATAAATTTTGGACGTTTTTACTCATTAGTATAAATAGGAGAATATTTTTCATTGTAAAGACTTTTGACTTTTGCTTAATATTATAGAAAGAGAATTTGTTCTTTCAATTTCTTGTTCTTCTTGAACAATCTTGGAACTTATCAAGATTCAATTTCTTGTAGCGTTTTAAACAATCGGATCGTGGGTTCTTTTAATTGTAATCAAGGGGTTTTAGGTTTTTCGCTAATTTAGGGTTTCTTGGTTCAATTCTTGGGGTTCAAAATCCAAAATCGAGTTAGTATTAGCGTTCTTGGGTTCCACATCAATCTCGTTGTGGGTTTCGTAGTTTCCATTGCTACGGGGTTGGCATCATCTTTGATATTGATATGTCCAATAAATGAATTTCAAGTCCACTCACGTTTACTTACAACTAAAATGGTTTCAACCACATTTCAAATCATTAAATTTACTATGAGATTTACAGATTCATGTTAGAAGGCTTTCTGTGTCAAAATCGGATGTAATTTATTTGGAATGTGCCCAAGATATCCACTATAAGTCTATAACTCTACTTAATTTAAGAATTCTCTTCGCCCATAATTGTTTTCATCCTTTTCCACCTATATGCAAAAGAATATACTTAACATGAAACTTATTTATAATGTCACACAAATTAATTGTGTACAAAATGAATTTATTTTTAATCATTTTTATTTCAAGAATTAGAAATTCAAAAACTAAAAGATCCAACTTGAAAAAGTTAAATCAAAATTTACTTTTTATACACCTGCTCAATAATGCAAAACACAAGAATCTCAAGTATCTCGTCAAAAATGTTACGTTGTCAAATTTAATTATTTTCAGATCCAACTCGAAGAGATGTTAATGCACAGGAGATATGAAGAACTCAGAGACATTGGCAACTCATTGCAAGAAATTTCTTTCCGGTAGCAACAAGTCAATGACAGATGATCATAAGCCGGACAATTTGCTTCTCGTTGTCATTCTTGTTATAAGCTTAAAAATTGAGTCAATTAAACAAGAATATCAAGAGAATATCCACAGGAAGCCCCAGTTTATACTGAAATCATCTAATCTTCACAATACAGCATGAGTAAGACCATATATTGGTATTTCTGAAATGTCTCTAAGTTATAGTATATACACAAGCACATGCATGTACAAACACAAAGTAGTTCACCTGCTTATTATTGACGGAAAAAAGGGTATTCCAGCCAGTTAATCTCACCAAATTTCCGATATTATTTATGCTGATTACTGAGCCGGGTTCAAATAGCTTTTGTCAAAAGACTTTCCTTTTTAACATTCTTTGTACAAGTCGACTTCCATTTCAGTATGACAATTCTGAATTATAATATCATATTATCTTTGACTCGAGTTTGTGACCTATACATACACTATATCGTCATTACCAGTGACACAAAAAAAAAATAATAACAAATAAAAATAAAAAAATCCTAGGTGAAGAAACTTGAGAGTGTGACGGAATTCTTGGAACCAATAGAAAGGTTACTTTCAAATCTCTAATAACAAAGAGAAGAAAAGGAGATTTTGTTCTTTATTTTGAAAGGAAAGTAGAAGGGATAATTGAAATTTAAGTTGAAGTTAAAAAAAAAATTCTTTCATTCCACCCTCCACAAATGCACGTTAAGTACTGTGGCATTAGTGATGATAGATCACTTGGAAAAAGGCTAGAAATTATATACATACCATAAGGATTGGGAACGAAATTGAGCAAGTAGTCTGTATGATAGCATTGGATTGACCAAGAGTGGCTTTCACATGGCAAGCTCCTCAGTCCTCGGCATAGGCACAGATAGATAAAAAGAATGCACCGAATACATATGAGATTCATCCAGACATCCACCTATGTCTTTGCACTGTCTGTCTGTCTATTTGAACCATCTGTCTTTCTGGTTGACTTTTGGTTTGCACGTGAAGACCCAATGGCTCCCAAAGCATCAAGGAAAAACCTTTTGTTTGGGATAATGCCATCTCTGTCCATACACGTCAACAATTTCTGTAGTAGCTCCTTCATGTCAGCTTTAGTGTAGGCTTTGTAAAGAAGTTTGTAAGTGGAGGAATCAATGGGAAACAGTCTTGAAGTATGTGCACTTTCAAAAAGCATGTCGGCTTCCATAGGCAAGCCATTCATGCAATAGACATCAAGCATCGCATTCAGAGTCGAGACCTTTTTCTCCTCAGATTCAACCACCTGCTGAAATATCTCTCTTGCCCGTGAAACATAGTCACAGTATCCATACATCATAATAAGACACTCATATGTGATAAAGTTTGGTTTGTATCCCATATCAGTCATTTTCTGGAAAGCTAACTCCGCTTTCTCCCTGAGACGTGCTTTTCCATAGTTTGTGATCATAGAATTGAATGTAGGAAGTGTTGGTTTGTGCTTAGAACGCAGCAGGCTCTTGAAAACTTGTTCCATCTTTTCAAATTCCTGCTTCCTCCCATAGGAATCAATCAATAAATTAAATGTGATGATGTCTGGCTTCAACTGATTGCTCTTCATCATAGAAAGCACAGACTCCATTTCCCTGATCATCCCATTTTTTCCATAGGCGTCCATCACACCGTTAAATGTGAAGATATCTGGTGTCACAATGCTATCATTTAGATCTTTAAACAATATATTAACCTGATCAACATTTTTTGCCTGAGCAAAAGCTCGCAAAAGAATGTTATATGTTACAATACTGGGTTTACAACGTTCCATACCCTTCATCTTGTCAAAGTACCCCAGAGCCTTGGACAATGCCTTGGATTTATCCCGGGAGTGAAGGTGGGCAGAGATCAGTGCATTGTAGACCGACGTATCAGGCCTACAACCACTATTACGCATCTCAGAAAAAAGCCACATGGCCATCCGAGTTTGGCCCTTTTTTCCCATAACTGATATCAACTTAGAATATACCCCATTATCTGCTATGTACCATCGTTGTTTTTGCATCCATCTGAACACCTGAATATTAGATATATTAGTGAAGAAAGCCTTTATTTTCGTTATTGAGAACAATATTTTAATAGAGACTACAATAGTAATGGAGGATACAAGGAGGGGGTAACCCTTTACCTTAGATTTCTGTGTAAACCAAGATATTAAATGCCTCAAAATTTGCTTTACCACCCCCTAAATATTTTTGTCCAGTCGCTTATCTCCCTCAACACGTACTACTAAGCCAGGACCCATCATCAGTCATCAATGCAACATAAGCCACATAAATTACAAGAATAACCATACTCTTCTATCTAGTTTGACAGAGAAAACAGAAATGAATAATTTTGAAAGTTTAAATGCAAAGATGGAATAGGTAAGACTGCCAATACTCTTCTATCTAGCTTTATGAATGCAGGTGTTGTCCATACAGCTGATTCTTTTTATTATTTTCAAACTCAAATATAAGTTTCATTGCTTGAATTTCAATCAACATTTGAGTAAAATAATGCATTTGTCAAAGGAGAGTCGACCTCCCGTAATTAATTAAATTACTGTCGCATTGCAATAACTCAGTGATTTTATAGGATATCAACCTTTACACTTAAAGCATGTCAGCAAAGTGTTTTTAAACGGTTTAAACTATAAATAGATAGAAATTAGAGGTAGTTAAGTGGATAGAACCTGTGGGTTTCCTCAAAATGTGTAGATAAAAAGTGATTTGAGTGTTTATAAACATGAGCTCATAGGCTTAGTAATGCATGGTCATGTATTAAAGTAGAACCCGGAATGTATTTTTTATTGCAACTGAGGTAATGGGATTGGTAGGCTAAAATGAGAAAATGACATATTGACACCCGAAATAATTAGCAGCATATCGGAAGGAAATAATATTAATCCATTCTTCACCAGCCTCCAAAAAATTCTGGAGATCAAAACACAGCATCTATCCCAACAGCAAGTTCCACTGGCTTTGCACTTATATTAGAATTATATCTACGTGATTAAGGGAGCAGTAATAATATATTTCTTAATTAAACTCCATCACATTAAAAATAATTTTGCGTCTGATATCAAGCATACTTGCATATGACAAACCACCACATATCCATAGGCACTTACATTGACAAGCATACGTTGATATTTAACAAAATCATACATGCTCAAGCACACGAATAAAATTCATCGCACCCCTTAACAGAACAGACGCCACAATAAGAAATCACTGTGAACCAATTAAAATATGCCCTTGGAAAGACCTATGTGAAGAAGTGCATAATATCATCTGATGTAGATAAAATTACAAAGACAAAGCTTGAGACATCAGAATTTCTATCGTAATCTCAAAGAACTCTAGTTCTCCAATGCTTATATAACTCTTAACTGTCCAATTCTATTCATACAAGTTAGAAGGAGACCATTCCTCGCTCCCCCAACAACCACTATTTTCTTTTTTTCACATTCATCTTCAGCATTCTCGGGATTACAGTACAAGACAGTTGGTCATTGTCAAAAGAATGACATGAAATTCTATGGTTTGTAAAGGGTATGGCTACAGGCCAACGTAAAATGGGCAAAATTCAAAATTCCATCTAAATTGCTAAAATCAACGAAAAATAAAAAGATACAATCCCTTAGATTACTAGAATTGATGGTAATCAACAAGTTCTGTAAATGTACGAAAAAATCGAAAATGATAAAAAAAAAAAAAAAAATGAAATCTTTGACAAGGGGCCAAACCTCAAGGCATTGCAGCCATTTATCATCCTTCCCAAGCTCTTCAAAGAGCATGAAACAATGTTCAGTTCTCAAAAACTTGGCATACTTATCGAGCGTAGTCACCAATGGTTTTTTCTCTCTGAAATTTCTCAAGACTGAACGAACCAGCTCCTCCGCTTCAGAAGATGAAGAGTTCTTTTTATGGGTCTTTTTCGGGCCCGGATTGTTTCTGTGTTGGGTTGGAACGCACATGGAAACGGGTCTGGTTATTGGAAGTGGACATGGGTGTTGAGTGAAAGCATAATTTGGTGAAGAAAAGATGGTGAATTTGGATGTAGGAGAGAGACGCAGGGAGTTAGGTGGGAATGTCAACGAACTCAGGGTCATTCCGGGAATTTAATAATTCGGTGGTGGAAGTGGTGGAGGGTTTTGAGAGGCAGAGCAACCCTCTGGAGAGAGGACAAGAACATAGTCGGAATGGCTAAGCCCCGTACACCTCATTTTGGGAAAATAACGGTCGATCCCTAAACCTTCAGAAGAGTTCAACTTTAGTCACCACATCTTCAAAATGATGAGAACTTTAGTCCCCAACCCTTCCTTTTGTTTGAAGCACACTGGTCCAACAGGCGGGATTTGTCAAAATAAAATTTTCGAAATCGTGAGAGCCAACCAAAATGAACAAATCTTTAACTTATCTAGCACTTTTTGAAGGCGGGGACCAAATTGTAACTTGGGTGAAAGTTTGAGGACATGTTTAGGCTATTTTCCCATTCCTTTTCTTGCAAATGATTATGCGACTCCATTAGGTGGCGGTTAATGGAGAGAAGAAAAACGGAAGGACAAAGGAGAGAAAAAAAAGTTGGGAATTGAACCCGACGTGAATCGAACACGCAACCTTCTGATCTGGAGTCAGACGCGCTACCATTGCGCCACGGATCCACGAGTTGGAAAGAAATGTACTTTGATATATCTTTTACAAATGATATAACGAAAACCAAATCAAACCGTTGATATGTATTATCATTAGATCAACTTGTACTTTACAAAAAATTATAGGTAGTCTATTTCTACGGTTTCTTTAGAAAAATAATGGTTTTGATAAGATAATACTTTTATTAATTAAACAATAAAATTAAAATTAAATTTTACGGTTGAATTTGCATTAATTTATTGGTTAAGCTTGTATTGAGACAAATATATTAGAATTGTAACATTCATATTTAGAAGGTTTCCACTTAATTATTAAGTGAAATTTCAAATCGATTTAAGTGTTATATTTGAAAAGTATATTGGGCATTCTATGCATGTATTAAGTTGCCCTATTATTTGTACAACTATCTATGTAGAGGATTTTAAGAGGTCAATGTGAAATCTCTTTTATTCTTTTGCTTCATTATAATGAGAATCTATCCTGATAAAAAACAGTGTAACTCTCAAGTTGAATGTGAACAACTATAACATGTGGCTACTTTGCTTGTTTCTTGATTCTATTTTTTGTCCATTAACAATTTGAGGAGGATTAGGGCTTAATCTGTAAGGCCAAGATCTAAAACCTCTATGCCACAATTATTTGAATCCTTCAATAACATGAGAACTCATAATTAATTTAATCAACCTGATGTGGACGTAATGTCGACTAGACGAATTTTTTCTTTCATGTGAAATAGACGCATGATTATTGTTGACATCCGAACTCCGATCTAGTATAAACAGTTCACTAACCCTACCTCGGTATAACGTAAGTTTGGCCCACACCCCAAGTCAGAGTTACCCGCCGTTATCTTAGAAAAACATCATGATTATCCCTTGTCACATCACCCTATCAATCAGATACACTTGCCACAGGTGACGTCATCGTCGCCCGGAACAACCAATTCCTAGTCCTCGAACTCGAGCCCCTTATAGGTCATCATTAACTGGGTAATACATTGACACATGACCACCGGCTTCATCGACCAATCACAAGAGAATTTGGCGACCCAAGTTCTGAACTCGGCACTGTTGCTGATTTGATGTAATTTCGGGTAAAACTATGTATAAATAGTTGAATAGGACCATTGTAAAAGCAGAGCGAATTCATATAACGACTTATGACACAATCACACTAAAATGACATCTTTGTGATCTGTTTTAAGCATCAATCACTTTTTTTATTAAAGTTGGTTCAAAATTATCCTTTCTAATTTTGACATCAACAGTTTGGCGTTAGAAGAAGGGCCCTAATTGTGAAAAATAGTTTCATTCGCTCCACAAAAATTTCAAGAGCCATGAGTCATAGCTCAAGTTCCAGAAATCCATTTCACACCCACCCTCATGAAACGAATATACCACTGAGTTCTCCACAACAGCAGGACCCTCAATGATCACAATTAGGGAAACCCTATAAAAATTGACAAATGCAGTGGGACGACTGAAAAGGAGCCAAGCCCATTCGTCCCCACCAGATACCGAGGTGAAATCCCCTATAAGGATAAAGGCAAAGCGTCCCCCCACCAGGAGGACTCTCCACTTTTCAAAAGGAGAATCATCAAGAAGCCAAACCGATGAGGCCAAAAGTAAGAAACCCGAGGCGAGAAGGACTGCAAGTGTGTTTGACAGATTGGGGACCCATCACTCGCTGACTCCTACGCAAGGACAAACCGACCTGAAACGTCCCTTGGAACAAACAGAGCCTGAACTAAGCGCTCTTAAAAAATGCATCGTCGAACTGGAGGCTAAAAATAAAGGTGGCACTAAAGGTTATCAAACCAAATGACATTCCCCCTTCACTGAGGATGTCCTTATGGAACCACTACCTGAAAATTTGAAAATTTCCCAAATCGCCGCATACGAAGGGGATGGTGACCCCCTCAGCTACCTTGACAAATACACCTCGTGGATGGAACTACAGGGGACAAGCAACGCAATCATGTGCCGAGCATTTCCCCTAACTCTAGGAGACAAAGCCCAAAGATGGTTTAGAAGACTACACGAAAGGTCGGTAAAAGATTGGAATGATCTGGCCACGGCATTCTTGGCCCAATTTATAGGCTCCAAGGCTAGAACTACACCCAAAGAACGTCTAGTGAGTATCAAGCAGGGAAGAAGTGAATCCCTCAAAAGCTATCTGAGTAGGTTCAACAAGAAATCCATGGAAGTGAAAAAAATATCTGACGATGCACTCATGGCCGTATTAGCAGGACTAAGATCCAAAACGAGATTCTGGTGGTCAGTACACGAGGACGGTCCAAGGACTTATCACGAGTTCCTGAACTGAGCTGAGAAATACATAAGCGCTGAAAAAGTAACCTCTGACCAAGAGGAAGCAAGACGCGAAATTGACCTCAGTGATGTGGTGAAAGAAAAAAACCAAGTCGCAGTCCTCAACCAGAAAGAAAGAAGGACATGAGAGAAAGAGAATGTCCCAAGGCTCAACCATACAAGTTCCGGGAGTACCACCCGCTCAAAGCCTCCTTGGAAGAGGTATTCACGCAAACCAATACAAAAGAAGCATTTCACAGACCTATAGTCCTAAAGGAGGGACAGGCCGGACAACACGATGGACGATATTACCGATACCATAGGACGATGGGTCACGACACTGATAACTGCCCGGGACTTAAAAGAGAAAGTTGAATCCTTAATTCGAAGAGGTCGGTTACAGAAGTTTGTTGTCAAACCAAAAGAAGCAGATCGACCTACGACGCAGCAACCACTGCTACAGAGGGCTCCCACACGAGCCCAGCAGGCAATCCCTAACCGTAACCCACCCCCACATGCCAAAATCAAAATGATGGTGGGCGAAAATCAGTATATTGAAGGGTCCAAAAGGGCCAGGCGAAGGCAAGCCCGAAGTGCAAAAATCATGTCGAACTACTGGAATCGAACCCCTAAGATAGGCATAGACCCTGAATCGTTCTGGTTCACAAAAGAAGATTCTGAAGGAATCCTTCAAGACCAGAGTGACGCCTTGGTAGTCACAATGACGGTTGTTGGAGTAAAAGTCCACCGCACTCTAGTGGACAATGGAATTTCGGTCAACATACTGTACTCACGAACCTTGAGGCAGTTGGAAATATCGGTCCGCTACCTCCAACCGTATCTAAGGAAGCTACAGGGATTTTCTGGGGATCCTATCGAAGCCCTAGGTCAGATCGTCCTTATTGTAGAGCCGGGCGAAGCTCCTCGCCAAAGAAGAATCCTAGCGAATTTTATGGTGATCGATTTACCGTCCAATTACAATGCAATATCGGGACAGTCCATTTTGCACGAACTAAAGGTTGCCACGTTAATTTATCATTATTGCGTGAAATTTCCCACCCCTTACGGAATTGGAATTATCCAAGGAGATCAAGCCACCGCAAGGGCTTGCAACATCGACCTGCCAAGGCCACAAGTCAACATGCTAAGAAATAGGAAGAACACACAAGCCGAGGAAGCCAAACCAAAGAGACCAATCATTGCAGATCTCTCGGAGATCGACATAACAGAAAAGAATCTCAAAAATGCTATCATCCAAATGAAACCTCCAACCAAACCCAGAGAAGTACAAAGTTCAATCGGAAGGGTTGCCGCCCTCAGTCGGTTCGTCTCCAAATCTACGGACCATTGCAAGCCCTTCTTCGACACGTTACGAGGAGGAAAGAAGTTCGAATGGACCAAAGAATGCCAGGACGCCATTAACGAGCTAAAGAGACAATTAGCCCGACCTCCAGTGCTTTCAAAACCTAAGGCAGGCGAGGCCCTGAAGGTATATTTATCTGTTTCAAAGCATGCCATTAGTGTCGTTCTAACCCAAGAAGAAAATGACGTTCAACATTCGATTTATTACGTAAGTAAAGCGCTTCACGAAGCCGAGCTCAGATATTTGCCTGTAGAAAAACTGGCATTCACCCTGCTGATGGCAGCGCGAAAACTGAGGCTATATTTCTGGAACACTCCATTGAGGTCCTTACCAACTCTCCATTGAGGCAAACGCTACAAAGGCCCAACACCTCTGGACGGATAGTAAAATGGGCAGTAGAGCTCGGATAATTCGACATCAAATACACGCCCCCTTCCTCTATAAAGGGTCAGGCACTTGCCGACTTTGTCTCTGAGTTCTGCAACGTCCCAATTGAAGAACAACAGAAAGAAACCCCTTGAAAACTTTATGTCGGCGGTTCATCCACTGAGAACGATCTGGGGCCGACATTGTATTAATCAACCTTGATCACTGCATATTCTGCGAAGCCTTGCCATTTGACTTCAAAGCCTCAATAATGAGGCTGAGTACGAAGCTCTCATTGCTGGAGCAAGGATGGCCTCAGGACTAGGGATCTCCAACCTAATCCTACACAGCGACTCCCAACTAGTCGTGAATCAGGTCAACGGTGTATATATGGCGAAAGAAGACAGGATGGACAACTACCTACGAGTTGTGAAAAAAGAACTTGAAAGGTTCAACACCACCCAAGTCAAACAAATTCCCCGATCTCAGAACAATCACGCCGATGCACT